TGTCACCCTTCTCAGTGCCCCATTAGACAAGTATAAGGATATAGATACTGTACTAATGCTTTCTAATTATCCTTGTGTTATGGAGTACCTTGATGATGCAACAAAGAAAGAGATGGCTAATATTATAGTTCAAACTATTATGAAAAATAAGACCTGCATTTCAACTGCTGAGAAGGTATGAATGTTTAATTTAAAATAAAGAACTACTTCGATGTTTCTTGCTTTATGGCTTGAATTTTTTCCATGAGCAGGTTGAAGCACTTTTTGAACTAATGAAAGGGCTACTAAGAGATTTAGATGAGACTCTTCCTGATGAGGTTGTTTATATGTTCCTTGTTACTCCCTACGTCCCAAAATAAACTTCCCGTTTTGACTTCACACGGAGTTTAAGAAAGGTGAAATTGTGTTGAAATTTGTGCAGAGAGAGAATGACTGAACAATAGATTACTTCTTAAAAGGAAATATGAAGATTAATTATGGTCATCCAAAAAAGGAAAATGGAAAGATTATTTAGTGACAGAGGGAATATATAATCGGGTGCATGACTTAAAGTTGAATATCAAACCTTTTTTTCTTTTAACTGACTGTTCATTTATTTCTTAAATAAAATTACTAGAATAATATCGTATTTACCTGAAGGGTTTTCCATGGAATATTTCAGCTTGACGAGGAAGATTTTCAAGAGGAACAGAATTCTGTTGCCAGACTTATTCAGATGCTCCACAACAATGATCCAGAAAAAATGTTAGAGGTAATAAGCTCTCTATATTTATTTTAAAAATTCTGTATACTATATACTCCAATTGCAGGTTTAGTACTGCAGTTTTTCATTTCTGGAAAACTAAAATTTGTCTGCCTCCGCAGTACCTCTTATGATTAAGATCTGTTTAATTTTTCTTTTTCTGTAACGTTCATGTTTGCTTTCTCTTCAGTAAATAATTAACTTAAAAACATGACATTTTCTGATGCAGATCATTTGCACCGTGAAGAAGCATATTTTGGCTGGAGGACCAAAAAGAATTCCATTCACTGTCCCTCCCCTTGTTTTTAGTGCTCTGAAGGTTTGACTCTGCTTTGCATCACTATTTTTTTGTTATGTGATGAATGCAACTAACTTACACGTTAAAGAAAATCATTTCAGTCATAAAGCAAAAAATGAGATGTATGCATTCTCCACTGAATCTCCCTTAACTCATTTTTCAAGAAGAAAATTTGTTCCAAAAAATTGAAAACATGCTGTTACTTTTGGTATGGTGAATGGACTTCTAAACAATGTTGAAGCTAAACATCTCTATTTTGTAAATCTCTCTCTTTTATCTAATTAGTTCTATGAAAGATGAGAATAAAATAATAGCCGGGATACTGCAGTAACACTCAAGGGATGCACAGCACCATACACCCCCACCCTCCTGTAAAAAGAAGTAATGTTTTTTTTTTATGATAATAAATTGACCTGCTCTTCTTATTACTGGTGATGAAGTTGGCTCGGCAAGTGCAAAGTCAAGACGATAATGGTGGTGCTGAGGAGGTCTCTGCTAAGCCAAAGAAAATATTTCAAATCTTAAATCAGGTATACAGTTGGATGAAGCACTCTTAAGTAGCATCAATGGTGTTAACTTGGTTCGTTTTCTTCCATTTTCTTAAATCCTTAGGCCTCGAAATCTTCAGGCCTCCTTAAGTTGACTTATTATTATAATTATAATTATTATTACTATTATTATTTGTTATTATTATAAGTAAACTCTATATCTATCTCATACCATCAATGGTTTTATACGATAAATGGATAAACACATGTGCTTGTCTCTCATTTTCCACTTTGTTTCAGACAATTGAAGTTCTGTCAAATGTCCATGCATCTGAATTAGCACTGAGGTTATATTTGCAGTGTGCTGAGGTACATGAATTTGGATTTACACTTTTAGAAGACTATGAAAGCTTCTCTTGATCTGCAAATTTCTTTTTCCCCATTCTCAGGCTGCCGGCGACTGTGATCTAGAACCTGTGGCCTACGAATTCTTTACCCAAGCCTATATATTATATGAAGAAGAAATTTCGGTAACTGGCAATTTTATCTTCAGTATATGTGCCTCTTTTTTTTCTCCTGGGCTGATTTTGCTGTATGAGCACTTAAAATTTTCAATTTGGATTTTATTTTGATAGGACTCTAGAGAACAAGTGACTGCTATTCACTTAATGATAGGAACTCTTCAGAGAATGCATGTATTCGGCATTGAGAACAGGGATGCATTAACGCATAAAGCCACTGGGGTAATTAATAAGTTTATTTCTACTATACTAAAAGAATATCTGACCTCTTTATTACTATTACTCTTTAATTAATAAGGCCCCATGTATCTTAAGCTTCAGTGTGTTAAGAATTCCGGATAACTGACCTTTATTTTCTAACTACCTACTAGTACTCTGCAAAGCTTTTGAAGAAACCGGATCAGTGCAGAGCTGTCTATGCTTGCTCACATCTCTTCTGGGTCGATGATCAGGACAACATCAAGGATGGGGAGAGGTGGGTAGCCTTTCACCAGCATCCATAGGATACTTGTTTTCCAATATAATTTTGTCATTAAATAAAACAAAAGCATAATGATAATTTTTTTCAAACATGACATTTTAAACTGGTTAGTGCTGGAACTTTATTGGTTCATCCGAGTTGATAGTTCAGGGAGTCAGGGGGTGACAAGTTTGGGCCAGACATGATTAAACAACAGAAAATAAGCTGGTTTGGGCCAGACATATTCGGATTCAGTCCTTAAATGGACAGGCTCAATTAGCCCATTTATTTATCCAGTCTTATATGGGTTGCCTGATTTGACTGTCCAAGGCCCACCCACACAAGTTGCCACTTCTAAGAACACTAGTTATCTGTAGAAACCTACCCGATCTTATATGTAAAGTTCCCAAGAGAGTTCTTTTTTTGTACCCTTTTCCCTTCCAGGGTCTTGCTTTGCTTGAAGCGTGCCTTGCGGATTGCAAATGCTGCTCAGCAAATGTCGAATGCAACCCGAGGCAGCACTGGATCAGTCACACTGTTCATTGAAATTCTGAACAAGTACGAGAACATCAAAACACTTCTCTTTTTTTCCAATTCAATATTTAAAGCTTTTAACATTTCCAAGTAAATCGATGACTGAGGTGGTACGTGTTTGATATTATTAGGTATCTATATTTCTTTGAGAAGGGGGTTTTGGAGGTCACGGTGGCTCTTGTCCAGAGCTTGATTGAACTGATCACAAATGAGATGCAGAGTGAAAACACATTATCAGATCCTTCTGCAAATGCTTTCTTTGCAAGCACACTGCGATATATCCAGTTCCAGAAGGATAAAGGCGGAGCTGTTGGTGAGAAGTACGAGGCAATCAAATCGTGATGAATGTCCTCTCTGAATTTTCATTCCTCATCCTCCCGAAAAAGAAAACGAATAAAAGCTCTCACCATATACATCACAGCAGAAAAAGCCATCTGTCTTTCGAGTTGAGTTGCCTACAGTAGTGTGTCAAGTATTCCTGATTTTTGACATGGTTTTGTGAACTATACGAAGATGGGTTTTAGAGATTGTTTTAGGTTTTCTTTTTGCCATCCTTTTCTTCGGCCTCTTTTTATATTTTGGGTTTAGAGATGGAACTGGGGATTTTTGACAGAACAGTTTTTTTTTTGGGTGTAGTATTATGGATGACTGTCATGATGTGTACTGTAAAGCAAATTTCTCAATAAATTCATTAAATTGTGTTGAAGAAGAAATGTTGGAGAATGAGCACGTGAACTTTTTATTTTAAATTATGATAGGAAAATTGTGCCTAAAAAAATGATAGGAAGATTTTACATTTTAAACATTTAAAAAAATGCTAAATTTTGATTCTAACCTTCCCCTTTCCATTGCATAGACTCTGCCATTGGTGTTGTGTATCTTGTTGGTGAGTTTGTGACTATGAGAGGGAAGAATTGTAACATCCAACCCGTATGACCTAAAACTATCTAAATTTAGGTGACACAGGATGATTGACTTTTGGAAACATTTTCAAATGAATACAAAACTCAATCAAATAAAACCAAAAGGCATCAAGTGCCAAAACTTAATTAAATGGATTGACCTTTTAAAATTATGCTACCTCTGTCTACGGTATTTGTCCAGTTTCTATTTTTTATAGTCAAATTTAATAAACTTTGATCATTAAATAAAAATAATTTGTACTAGATATTGATACACGAATTTTTTCATTAGATTTGTCTTATAAAATATTTTCAAGATATGTTTTTATCTATTTAATATACTATGTAATATTTATTTAATTATAGGCTAAATACGATTTTGATTAACCGCAAAAACTTAAAACTGGACAAATAATTTAAGACGAAGGTAATATATTTAATGTGGGAGTAAAATATTACTATGAGTACATTAAACAACACAATGCATAAACAACATTTGTAAAAACATGCCTATCAACATGTCATTCTATCATCTCGTCGTCCACTGGAATGTATCGCATAATTCTTACTTCTTACTTGTGTATCCACAATAAGAAGGTCACATGATTAACAATGACAATGAGTGTTACAATAAGTGTTACAATAACGCTAGAAGTCAGTAATACATTTATAAATGGGTGGTGATAGTCACACCTCACAAAAATATTAAACTCACCCCACACTTATTCCATTCTATTACATTAAAAAAATTACTTCACATTTTTCCGAATTGCTTCTTGATGGATACCCTAGACATGGGGTATCCGGTCTTTGTATAATATTAGTTGGGGTGGTCCAGTGTGTTGGACCGGCCCGTTAGTTGTATGTTAATTATTTATTTAAGGGCGGCCCAGTCTGTTGGGCCGGCCCATTAGTTCGAAACCCTAACCCTAACTCTCCCTATTTATACCCCTCTCTTCTTGATAGAGTGAGGGGGGAGGAAGGAGGCTACACCACCAACACTATTCATCATCTTCTTCATCTCTACATATTCTCCTTTTTCTCTACCCTTGGGTTCCATAACCCAACAATGGTGCTCTCGTTTAGAGATCGAACGCATCAAGCGTGCTCTCTCCAATTTTTCCTTTGATTTTTTATCCTCCAAATTCGTCATTTCTTTTTAAGTTGGAAAACCCAAATTAGGATTTGGAGGATTCATCATTTTTCTTAATCTGGAAATTCATCCCAGAAGGTCTGTACCGCTGATAACTCCGGCGGAACGCTCCCTTCTCCGTGCGGAGATCATTGTCACGGGCGCCACACCTCGACCTCGAAGGCTCTCAACTACATCTCATCCCCGCCGGATGGATCTAGGTCGCTGTGGCATTCAATCCCTCTTCGCTGTAGTTGCTGCCCGCCCAGCCCCATCTCGCCGCAGCCGAGTCCGACGCCGCCATTGGAATCCGGCGCTGCAATCGCAGCCTAGATCCTATGTCGTCGCCGCCATGGTTTCAGGGCCCTTCATCATCCTCTAGACCAATATGAGCGACCGGGAAGATAGAGGACCTCCACTTTTTCAGCAAAGCAGATCCGGCGCATAAGGGTCGGCGTGCTGTAGGTAGGGGTGGACACGGTACGGTTCCGGTTCCGGAACCGCCGGTTCCGGTACCGCCACCCCGAGTAACCGGAAATGTTACCGTGCCGGCCGGTACCGGTTCCGGTTCCCGGACCGGCCCGGTTCGCCCCCCCTTTTTTTTACTTTTTTTTTTAAATTTTTAAATTATAAAATTGTAAATTTGCAATTGTTTAAGGAAAGAATGAAATAAAAAATCTAAAAATGTAGTTGTTATTTAAATATTGAATATGAGTAATACACTAACTGAAGAACAACCACAATTTAATATCCTGACGGTTCAAAAAAAGCGACGAGGTAAAGAACCGTAAAGAAACCCTCGAAAGAGCATATATATCGCTCACCTAAAAAAAATTAATTACATATTTACATTAACATAAAAAAAATTTATAACTTATTCTTCAGAACTCGGACTTCCATCTGTGGTTGCATTCATGTAATGCTCTGATTCGAGTTGGTACGATGACTCTTGAGCCCGACGTCTTGCCAAGAGCCAATCTTGGTTGCAAACCAGTGTTTCAAGAGATTCAGCGTTAAGACAACTTCGGTAGTCGGTTAGAATGTTGCCGCCAGCACTGAATTCTCGTTCAACTGCTACGGTTGATACTGGGACGGACAACACTTGTCTTGCTAGCATGCCGAGACATGGGAACATGTGTTCCTTTCGCTTCCACCATCCGAGCACGTCAAAATCGACATCGTCGTCATCGTAATCGCATGGCACACCCTAGTACATAGCAAGTTCGTTGTGCGAGCTTACTGTTGTACCACTTGAACTCGTCGAAGACTGGGCACGTTTCCCTTTCTTTGTAAGAAGCCCACCGACTATGCCGGCAAAACCTTTTTTTGATTTCGGGGGCGGAGGTGGTGCTGTTTCTTCTTGTACAGTACCGTATAACCCTTGATATTCCTTAAACAAATCCTCAAAAAGAGTTATAGCATTATCTCTTTCATTTTTCCATTCTACTAAATAGCTGTAGTAATAACTATTTTTATCTAAAAAACAACTGTAGTAATACTCAATTAGAATTTTAAAATTTTCAATCTTAAATCGTGGATCACAAATAATACCTATTTTATAAATATCAGGAATGTACAAATAATAAGTACACCATTTATCTCTCATAGGAGAGACATAAGGGTACAAATCTGGATCAGCCATACTTTCACGAAAACATGTTGCGATTGTAATGCACTCTTTAAAAAATGTATTTGTAGTTGGTTGGTAAACATGGGAAAAAGTAAGAGTTGCGTTATTAAAAACTTCTAATACGGCATTCAATTTTTCAACAATAACAAATTCAAAAGGATTAATGATTATACGAAGTTCATCCCTGAAAAATTCAGCAAGTTCCTCTTTATATCTTAGGATCTGTGCAATCAATTTGTA